GTGTTCCCATGCAAACAACACACTTCGTTTACCGTGAGAATGAGGAGTTACTAGGGACACAGTCCTATTCAACTCTTCCTGCTTCAACTTATCAGCAGCTCTCTGGAGCGCCCATTTAGCCAGTTCAAGAGGTGTCGTGATTTCTGGAGGAATGGGGACATCACTGTTCATTACCGCTTCCAACGCAGACATCCGCCGCCGCTTGGGCAACTGCGTGTATGAACAGAAACCTCAACCACAGGACACTGTCCTCCCTCACCAGCTGCACCAAGTTTGCTGGCAACCCTGGCAACCCCCATCGACCCTCACCCCCATCACGAACATCAGCATCACTGCGACACCGCGAAATCGTTCTACAGGGCGGTCCTCCAACAACCCCACCAACGACCCCTCGCACTGCCCGTACCAACAGGTGCTGATAGACATTCTTCTGCAACAGATCTGGCCCAAGGCATTTGTCTACTTCTAGGACCGTGCCTGGACCCTTCCATTTCTGCACTCTCGAGAAAATACGCAGCAACACTTCACCTGGTTTGGCACGGCCAATAATAGTTCTACGTTTCCTACGATTCCAGGGGACGCCATCCACATCAGGACCTTCAACAGTCACATCTTGGCCCACTACTTTGTCTAAGCAGTCAGAGGGTACTTCAGGGAACATACTACGCAACCAGAGGAGTTGCTCAACCCTTGTAAAACGACCACTAGCAACCTTATGTGCCAACCAGTGCCTAAGCTGATGCTTGGGTATTACTTCAGGAAGCCCTATCATGGATGCCTTTCCAAATGGAGTGCCTCCTTGGCCCCGAAGGGCCTGTACTCCGCAAGAAGACGCAATCCCTGCTCCGTTGAGATAAGAGGACATCCCTTTACTAAAGTGACCTCCAGTGCTGGCTGCCCTTTCCGTTTTATCATGCAACCCGTTTTTCTCCAGGCGATAGCAAAACCCAAATGAACAAAATAACCAGCCGGCAGAATCACCTGACACTGCTGAGCACTGAGCAGAGTACCATGTTCATTGATATGGAGATGCGTTTCCCCAGAAGCCAAATCTACTTTTATGCGTCTGGCCTTATCAAGTTCTTGGGGTGTATAGCCGGGCGAAGAGCATTGGTTGCTCCAGAATCCACCAACGCATAGTTCCCGTCAGAGGCACTATTGACCGCGCTGATTAGCCAGCCTCTATCGATACCATACTGTTGGAGAGGGTCTTCAATCCTACCTACACTTAGATGTTTCAACCACACACCCTTGAGGATCTTTGCCGCTTCCGCCAACAGAGCCTCTTGAGCTTTAACGGAAGAATCCTGACTGGCCCCAGGGGCTCCTCCACCGTTTCCGGATGACGAAGCCTTTTTCGTAACTCCCTTAACTTGGGGCGCTGACTTGGGTCTATTGGGGCTGCCTGTCTTTGCTATTGCCTTCGGGAATGCCGGGTTACTGATATCTGATTGGGGGGTAACCTGTCTATCCTCGGGCGCTACCAAAGTCCTGTCCGCACGCTAAGCACCGTTTTTGTTTTCTAGCCCTATCGTGCTTGAAACGACAGGAATCTCCGAATTTACATCCCCTGGCTTCATTAAACTTAAGTTATGACACGGACTCAACTCCGTACCCGGAATCTTCGCCTTTCCTTTACCACCCTTGTCATTCCTATCAAGCGCCTTGGCACTGGGCTGAGTTGGGGGGATCTTCGGGTTTACTAGGGGGAACTGCCTTCGAGTCGGCAGACGCCTCCGCGCTAGCAGCAGCACTCGCGCCTTCTTATCCGGAGGATTGGTGTGCATAGTACTAAGGGCCAAGGCTTCACATTCCGCTTGGATTAAACGAACCAGTTGGACTATGGAGGTTACGGTAGGGTTGTAATCCAGGGCAACTTTGTGTTGAAAGGCATTGATCCGGAAACCCAAAGAATGACGCTGGCCCAACAATCCAATGGTCACCTTATCTATCCCCGCCAGAAGTAGAGACGGATCTGGCATGGATGCTCCAAGTTCGTGAACCCTATAGAAGTTCTGTTGCCACTTCCTCAACATGGTTACGGCAGATTTTGGGTTGCCAGCTACCTCGGGCATAGTCAGCTGACTCAATAACATCGACCACTCCGAAGCTCCACCAGGCTGGTAGACACACTGCAAGCGAAGCAGCAAAGCTGCTGTGGAAAGCCATCTATTCGACACAGCCTCATCCCTTATATGTTGGGGAATAGCAGCTAAGATAAGACTCACAGCCCTAGACTCTACTCTCTGGAACTTCACTTCATCAAAGATGGCTATCACACCCTTTGGGTCCAAGCTAAGCCTATCTAAGGGGTCAGCTATCAGCCTTTTTTGGTAGTACCGAGTAGATGCTAGCTCAACTGCCTGCCACCATGCGTTAGCACTAGGACTCAAACCTGCGAAGATCTGACGAAGCTGCGCCAGCCAATTGCCACATACCACCGCTGAAGTGGAGATATCGGCGGAGGGAAGCTTTGGGAGTTCATTAATTTACTTAGCAGGTTCCTCGGGTCGTTCCGCGTGGGTTGGGGAGGTTTCCTCAGATGGAGATACATATGATGTAGGGTCTCGATAGGAGGCATACAATGCTACCGGGGGAACACCTTGGTCAGAGGCACTCCCTGCTGCACTAGATTGTGGTAAAGGTGGAGGCCTAATAATTGTGCCTCCTGGGGGACACTGGATATCCATCTACGCTTATACCCCATCTTCCAGCGCTGCCCCCTTGGGAGTTTGAAAATCCCCGCTGCCTACAGACCCAATCCCTGAAAGTTCCCCACCTCTTACATCACCCTGTATCGCTCCTACAGCCTTGCTCATAGGAATAGGGGGTACGTTTGACACATTTGGAGGCAATGGGACAATTGGTGGTGTTGCAATAGGCACTGGAGTTGGAGGCTGAGGTACAAATGGAGTCACACTACAGGAGTCCTGCAACGTACCTTCGGTAACCCTCCCTTCTCTCAAGGGACCACTTATATTTCTCAAGCCGTCTGTCGGAACCCAGGCCCTGGATGAGAAACCCTTCCTTAGGCAGAGGGCTCAACGAACTGTACAACACTGGCATTCACTGCACTAGGGCCTTAGGGCTCACATCCCGACGCTGTACAATGCTCTGACTCACCAACTGCTCGCGGGAAACAAGACGCAGACCAGAGCCAACATCATGCCCTGCCGCCCACGTTCTCAGTCCTTGACCAAGTCCTGCTTCCACAGTCTGTGAACCCACATGAGGATGTACAAGCGACACAGGAGAACCATGTGGAACCCACTCATCATTAACCGGTGTAGTTGGGGTTCTACCACTGCGCCAACTAGACTGTGATTCCATCTGCTCAATTCTCAACATTTGGTTCTCCTACAACGCCTGTATCAACAGTGCTTCTGTACTCGCTGTGACCGTTCCCAAAGCCGGAACCAGTTCTCTAGTATCGCCTGGCAAAGGTCTATCCGTCACTCCACTCCTTCCCATCAATGACTCGGCATGACGAGTTCCTGAACCAGCAACACTTGGCCGCGACCTCTCGCTCAATGCATCCGCACCCACGGTGGTAGCACCCAGAGGTGTGGTAGAGACTCCAGTAATATCTGGGACACCCATGTCCTGGACTGAAGTATCCAATGGCCCCCGATGTTCTATGGCTTGCAGTGGAACCTCTGCTGTACGGGATCCGCTTGTTCCCCGACTTGGCTCAGGTGGAGGCTCTAACCTAGCCACCCGCACCGCCGTTGTCCCCAAAGCAGGATCTCGGTCATAGGGAGGTTCTCTGTTTCTAACACCTGAAAAATCCTCACCCAGTTCCGTATCCCCCAACGAGACAGCGACACGCTGTGCATCCTGATCCAAGGTCAAAGGACGTCGTCTCAACAATTCCACTTCCGCCTGCACCCTTTCAGAATGAAAAGGACTGGCCACAGGCACATTCACACCACCTTGCTCCATCGTCCCTGGAGAAGCATCCTCACGAAGAACCACACCTCTTGTTGGTGTAACATCACCAGCATTCTCCGTCTGGCCCAAGGCTGTTTGGTGATCGGGTTCTGTTGCTTCAGCTCCAAACTCAGAATCTCTTTCTACTCCAGCTGGCCCACGATTTCTCATCGTTCGGTCCATGGCTTCAGACGGAGCATTAGACAATTCCTCATTCATGTTATAGCCTACGCAACTGCAATGGTCCCAGCCCAGTAAACCCCTAAGAGCTTGCTACGGCTGATAACCTACGTGATTATCAGCAATGTTGGTTACAGGAACCCCTAAGGGGATCTACGACCCCAGATGAGGTAATACCTAAGGCCACCCCAAACCCTAAAGGAACCCTGAACTTGACGCGCCTGGTACACTTTTCTCGAAGCAAAAACAGCCTCCGGCAATACCGATGCATGTCGTTCCTTGCGCGAGGGCCATGCTTGTCTTCTCTGTGGTTCTCCACACGCAATAAACACTTAAATTGAGAGAAGAGACCGAATAGTGGTTTAAATCCAACCGTCATGTTATCCTTGAACCCTAAACAATTAACACCATTCATTTCGGAGATTAATTCTGAACCGACATTATTAACTCATGTTTCAACTTTATCGTCATATCTATATCCGAAACCTTCATTTGCTTCATCTTTTCGTGCTCCTTGGGACATCGTTTAAGAGAACAGGTGATGGACGCGATTATACTTATCAAAGTCTTCTACTACTTGGTATGAGCAATAATTCGCATTCTTCTAAAAAAAGCAATCAGGGGGCGGCAGTGGAGGAAGTTTATTGCCAAATGCTCCCATATCCAAATTTTGTGAAGTAAATAACATTCTTACGCTTTGGGGTCTAACCAGGTGTTGTCTTCTCCATTTGAAGTAAATTTGAATACTCGATTACCACTATTGCTCGGGGCACCTTTAATATTGGGGAAAGGGATTAACGGCTCTCAAAGACCATGCGCTTGGCCACTTTCCCTGTTGTGCATGCTGTATGATGGAGCCCTGTAGAAACCTTGGCAACTTGGTGTGCTACATGCAGGGGCTGCTCATCGCTCAGGGCGACCGCTAGGGAAGCGTGAACCGCAGCCGCCGCGGGCATGTCCTAAGCGGGGAGGCGGAGCGCAGCAGCGCAGCAGCGCTGCCAAGAAATCTTGTTCCAAGGCGCGCCCAGGCACCGGGCTGCTCGCAGCTGTAGCCGCAAGAGCCTGTGATTAAACGTCTTTCAACTTCCCCCTCCCTTGGTCCCTCGGTTCTGAATGCTCTGGGGGCTGTTTCCCAACTCCGAAAGACAAACTGGCTCTACAATGGCCTGAAACTAGCAGTCGCTGCAAACATTCAAGATGGTCTGTGCCTGAAAAATCAGTGCAACACTACCTTCTTCAGTTTTCCAGTACCGAAATCCAAGAGTTGGTGCGGTGCTTCATGGTTCTTTCATCCCTCCCGCGCGGTTCGCAGAGCTCTTCTCGAACTGCAGGGGATTTCCAGTCTGGAGGTCGCTGGCCAATGCCAAAGAAACGACTTACAAGAAGTGCATGCCATCCTATGCTACATGTGGAACCATGGCGTACCACCATTCTGCTCTTCCCATAGGTTGTGCGAACTTGAGGACTCTCAGGTGCTGAGGCCCGTGCTCCGCCAGTGCCGGTGCGCATTCTGTGTCGTCCTCCCGCCTCTATACTCTATGCTTTCTAAGCTCTTCAGAAGGCACACTGAGTTGGCACCAGCACCGCAGCTTTTCCCCCCTAAGCCCAAGTGCCACGACTTGTAGCACAGCTCAGCCGAGGCCTTTGCCCTATCCAGGGCTTTGGAAGCTTCACAGCTTAGCGCAGCATGTCAGTGTTCCACAGAAAGCAATAGGCCCCTGAACTTGGCACAGATCTCGTGGCTACAACGCGCACCCGCTCGAAAAAATGGGCGGCTGCACCGCTTGTTGCAAACTCAGCGCTTTCAGCGTTTCGAGCGCTTCAGCGCTTTGCCTGCAGCAGATATCACGATGTGACGTTGCTGGCCACAGAAGCCGAAATGCTGCGCCTCGACCAGGAACACGGGGCCAAAGCAGAAGTCCCCGGTGCTGAGCACCCAGGCAGTCTGCGTGGGCGTGGGCCCGGGCCCGCTTCCAGGAAAAGCCAATGGCGCCTTTGGCCGAAGGAGACATGAAATGAGAAACAAAGGTGCAAAGCAAAATGAGAGAAAGGGTTCAAAAAAAAACACTTTTCCTCCCCTCCTCTCTCTCTCTCTGGGTGGCCTGGAGCTTTTTGAGGCTTTTGGAAAGGCGATCTTCTTTTCAAGCTTTCAGCTTTTCTTTTGTGGTCGGCCCGCCTCGAGGTCCAGGCAGAGCTGAATGACCTGCGCCAGCACACAGCGCAGCACGCAGCACACAGCGCACTATAGCAGCACACTTTCCGAATGCTTTTTTTCGAGTGCCCTTCCCAAGAAATTTGAGAACTTCACCCCCAGCCCTGCGCCCCTTGCGCCCCTGCGCTGCGCTTTGCCTCCCCAGGCTCGACGCGGCCCAGCGGCAGGTTAGCGCAGCCAAATCCAGAGCCCAGGCAGCACTTCAGTGAGCAGTCCTAAACGTTTAGAACCTCTGAAATCCGTGGCCGTCTTGACTGCTTGACTTCCCCCTCAAAGTCCTCTGGCCAGGGCATCGTGCCCTCGTTCTGCAGCAGGATCTTCAGCCCCTGAAAACTACACTCAGACTCGCGTGACATGTACAAGCTGCACGCTTCTGCGCCGGGTTCCCGGGCCCAGGGAGAAGTCACGCGTGAGACCTGGCCCAGTGAAACGAAGCCCTCGTTGAGAGCGTGGGGATAGCTCACCTTCAACAATCATCAGAACCCCTCTACCATCAGACATGATGAGATGCCTCTGCATTGACCACGTGCTCGTGCATCAAGTGGGTTGCTGACAGCACGGCGGGAGCCTGGGGCTTTACCAAAGCTCTTAGTTCATGCGCAATGGCCGCTAAGCGTCGCCAAGGCTTCACTTGTTTTTCTGCAGTCTGGCCTCCAGGGTCGTTGCCGTGGTGAGTGTCTCGGAGACGACGGAAAAGTTCTCCTCCTCAGCCAACATCCAGTCCTTGGCAAAGCACCATTATCCATGCAGCCGCAGGAATCGCAGCCGCAGGGCCTGCGCCAGGCTCTGAGCGCAGAGCCATGAAAGGAAAGTCGCTCACGTGGAACTGGGAAGCAAGTCGGTGTAATCATTTCAATTGGTCAGGTTTCCCTGAAGTAGTTAAGTTCTTTAGCCAATCCGCAGACCCCGGCCTGACGGGGCGAGTGTGGTACTTCCCTCAGGATCCCCCCCAAACGCATCACTAGCACGGGCGTTTCTGAAAACTGGCCCCAAGGCCCGTCTTGGGCCAGTGGACTTAATGAGAGGCCATTATGGACAAATTTGATGCTGGCCAGCATCATCAGCGTCATTGGGGGTCCGTTTCCACCTTTCCAGAATTCTCCAGGCTTCTAGGCTGCCATGCATAGCCCCATGCCTGGCATGAGGGTTGGATGATCATCACGCTTCCTCGAGTTTGATGACGGATTTACATGGTTGCCAAGGTGTTATTATACATGCTGTTGATAGGCGAGCAGATGGGTTCTGGTTTTATGATGGTTTCACACAATGTAAATGCATGTTTCATGCAGGCTTTATGGGGTTTGGGTGACGGTCTTCGGGTCAAGCTCGCGTGTTGGTTTCATGATGATTCCACACTGAATGGCAGGCTTTTCACAGCTGCACGCGGGCGTCTTGATGGCGCTGCCGATGAGCTGATTGGGCTTTGGCAATTTAATTTGCAGGGCGGTGTTGGAGAGGGTGAGCTCTTTTGAGGCGGCTCCATCAACATCTCAACAATGTGTGTGAGTGTCCAAAAGCGCAACCTGCAACCCCAAATCCCGCCCCCAAAATCCTCCACTGGGACCATCTGCGTACTCAAATTGCAAATGAGATCCCGCCCACACACCCAGCCCACCCTGGGGGACACCAGACGGGGTACCAGAGGGCTCCAAATCGGAGCAAATAAAAGAGGTCAGGTTTCTCTGCTTCCCTGACCGAGCATTCGCCTCACCGAACCTGTCCTGGTGTCCTGCAAAGGACCCTCGCGTTATGCACACTAAACACACAGGAGTGGAAGGAGATCTCCCTAATTCATCCTTTTGGATTCCTAACAACCTCAGTACCTGAGAATCCCTAAGGCCCCAAGTCATCATGGGCTGTGGAAATCTCAGAAGTGATATCAGGAGCGAAGCAAAGCCATCGGCCTCCGCCACCAGCACCTCACCGTCGCAGAGCAGAAAGTGTTCAAGTTGGACTTCCTCTTTTAATTCATCTCTGCCTCTCCGAAGTCTGGCACCGAAAGGCTGGTCACAGCCCACATGGCTCGGAAGCAGCCTTCCTCAAGATTTCCAGTGCTAGCATGTGCCAGCATAGGCGCATGCACTCGAGCGCCTTGTCAGGCATCAGGGCCTGGACCTGGTGGCCGAGCAACTCAAGTGATCGTCGTTTTTTGAACCGAGCTGGGAACCTGGCCTCCACGTCAACGGTCAAGCCTACAACAAAGGAATCTCGGGGACATAGGTGACTGAATCTCGCAGGTTTTCAAAAACGCCCCGTTGCCTGGACTCACTCCACAGGGCATCTGGATCTGAGCTGGGAGGTGCTCGAAGCCAGGCGTGTTGTAGAAGAGTCGGCAGCAGGCGTCCCTGATTTAGCGGCTTAAAGCAACTCTGCTGCTCTACTCGCGTCGCTCGCGTGTTCTTCGTTTTGTGGAAGCTCGCGACATGTTTCTTGTTGGAATCCAATGTTAGATTTCCTCCGAAATAGTCTATGTAAGAGTTCGTGTGTGGCGTGCGTGGGCCGGGGTCTCGCAACAACAGATCGATTCGCTGGAATTCTCCAATTTCTATTGAAGGCACATTGAAATCTTGAACTCTGCATCCGACATTGAAGGTGTTGGCGGCAGCAGAACAACTTATTCGTGAGATCTTCAACCTTCGACTTCCAATGTCGAAATTCAAATTGCAGCTGCAGTCCCACCAATTGGTTTTCTCTGCAAGTTTCGATAGCTGCTGCGGCCCAAGCAGGGCTTCCCATCCTTAAATGTCAAAACAACTTTTCACACTTGAGAGTGGTGCGAAGTCCGCACTGGCAACGTGGCAAGCACTGCAAAGTGTCTTAAGGTCATGCATCTGTGAAACACCTGTGTATTGGAAAGCGGACCTGGACTCTCGGAATGGCGAGCAATGTTCATGCACACCTATGTCGTCTGGGCCGGCTGAAGTTAGGAATGCACATGCCTTCACAAGCAAGCTCAAGCAACCAACTGGATGCCATGCACTCAGGCAATTCTCACATCCATTGTAATTTTGTTTGGTTGTTGAGCCAGAAAACGGTGCAAAACAAAAGCTTCAGAGCTCATCTTCCTCTGTCTGCAAGTTCAGCGCTCTCACACGGCCCTCAGCCAGGTCCAACCTTTCTCGCACCAGCCGCTGCTTGTAGTCGACGTTCTGCTGCTTTGTCTCCCGGCGTCGGGACCTCTCTTCTCTCTTGCGTTCCTTCAGGGCTGCATTCTCAGGCGTCTGCGAAAGGGACATGACACCTGTTCTCAGAAATTCTCGGAGTGTATCCTTCTCTGCCCCGTGCTTCGTCAACACGTTGGCCACATTCTGAGCCCCATCGACCCAGAGAACTTCTGCATTCTCTTGTCTGACTGTCTCTCGAAGTAGGGCCCCCTCTATAGCCATGCGCTTGTCTGTTGACGTAGCATCTTTGTGCAGATAATCGTACACAGATCTTGCGTCTGTGACGTACGCTCGCCGTCTTCGCCGAAACACCTCCGGCCAGTTTCGCAGGTCGACATCTCCAGTCAACGCCTCCTCCAGCCAGACGATGATCCAGTCCCCGGCTTCCACGGCCTCCGCCAAGTGCGAGGCCTCTGCTGCCAAAGTCGAGCGGCAAACCCTCTTCGTCAAAGAGCTGTGGTAACTCAGCACATTTGCCCTTGCCGGCTTTCCTTCCAGAATCTCCTTGTTGGTGATCAGGATGAAGTATCCGCCGACGCTCCGGTATCGGAGCTCCTCCTTGTGATCAGGAGTTCCATTGGCGTGGCCGGAATCGGCTAGATGCACCACAACACCATCTCGGAGGTTCACATCCGACCAATAATATCGCTGTTTAAAATCTGCACCTCTCTTGGCTTGACCGATGAACTGCTTCAAGAGCAGTAGGTCTGCAACGCAGGTCTCGCCTTTGCTTCGTTGCACGACCCCGTTCTCATAGGCGAGGTCGCATCTCAGCTGCCTTGCCAGCCATCCAAGACTGGAAGGTTTCCATCTCCTCGGCCGTCAGGGGTGCTCGAAGATGTCGCCTCCTCTCGGCGTCAACCTTGACCGTCTTCAGGCTGAGAGCATAGTTCCTCACGCAGACGTCGACGTGGTTCTTCTCGGTCTGCTGTGTCTCCCGTCCACGGAAGATGAAGGACTTAAAATGGTTGGTCGAAAATTCAAGAACCTGCTGCGTCTTGCTAAAGGCGGAGTTGAGCACGGAATGATGTAGACCGCCCTCCAAATCATCAACATGAGTAACAAGGATGCCCAGCAACTGGTCTCCTTGTCGAAGATAAAAGAGTGCGGGTTCCAGCCTCGACTCCTGCCAGCCATCCTAGAGGACCAAA